AAGAATTAAACTGACCAATTCGCCAAATAGAAAATCTAGAAACTGAGGAAAAATCCTCAAAAAATAGGGAAAGAAAAAATTAGAAGAAAATGAACAAGGCGATTAAAATCATTGATGAAGTAGAGAATAACAGTATTTGAGAAAGAAAATAAAAAAAGTTTAGTTATTGAAACCAAACAAAAACTAATGATCTGGTACGACATCAAAAAACACGGAGAATTATCCCTAGAAAAAGGAAAAATAAGACTCCTATTAAACTTAAACTTAAGCCTATTACCCAAGTGAACAGGCCGGCTCCTCTAATCGTTGAAACGGTTGAAAAGCAGTATCCCGAATTATCTATAGTGGAATTCCTTGCCCGGTGAGCATGAAGAATCAAAAAGAGGAAAGTGGGAAGGCGCCTATTCTCTTGATTCACTTGAGAAAATACATACTGCGATGTTCTAAAATATCTCCCCCCATATAGCATTGAAATAGCACAAAGTTGTTAAATTTATTGAGACTATTCGCCTGAAATGCGCAGTATGATATCGGAAAAATTCTTGCTAAAGGAATAGGGGCTGTGCGACATGTGAATCATATATATATTTCACATAATATTTTCTAACAAAACTGAAGTGATATGAAGCCGTCGTGTAAGCTTCTGAATTTTTCAGTTTGATTTAAAACCGGTCCGCGTCCATCTGATTTTCCAGGTCGGTCGGTTATAGTTCGAACACTAGTTATGCCCCTCTATTTTCTTCCTCCATTCAAAAAAGGAACACATTGTCTGACTTCGAGTAAATCGAGAAGGCAGGATTATATTTGGCGCATCATGCTCACTATCATACTAACAAAGCAATATTCGGACAGACATTTTTCAAATATCCAGAAGAATCTTCTCCAAAGGAAGAGGTTCAAGGAAGTGGGAATAGAAACAATAAGAATGGGCTAATACATCTGCGGATAAACCCTTCAATAAGAAATCGAAGCAATCTAAGATTGAGAACTATCATGTTTTAAAAAAAACTTATGTATTGGAGCTCCTAAATTAAAAAAGTCAGAAAAAAGGAAAGCTTCTTTAGCTAACACAACAAGAGGGGGTGGGCAACACTTGAATTTTAAATTTTTGTATTGTAAAATTACCAATGCCGAAGATTGTCATGAAATTCGAATCAGGAAGTCATTTGCTATTAATATTATGGAGAGGTTTTGTCCTGACGCCTTGACTTTCACAAAAAAATCTAAGGAGGATCACAAGGCCCAGAAATTGGTTAATGATGAAGTTAGGATCAGCTTCCGAAAGAGGTGATGAAAATGTGCTTTGGAAGAATACGGAACAAGTTCGAAAAATTATGATCGTTTCTGCGACATCAATATAAGGTATAAGGTCCCCGCTAAAGCATAAAAAAATCATATGAATGCAATCCATAATATGATTTGTTATTTGTTTATTTGTTTACCTAGTCCAAATATAATAAAACAGCACGTGATATAGTCATATTATACTATATATTTTGATTTATAACAGATAGCTAAACACTTTCATTTTTACAACTTACAATGCTCTCTTTATTCACAATATACAAGTTCAGATAGCTAAACACTTTCAACTTTACAACGCGTCTCTTTCTCCACAATAGACAAATATGCCAACAGGTGGACTACCCGAAGTAGTTTTACAAGAAGTTAGATCTCGTGGTAAGTATTTATTGTTCTTCACTATATTGTTCTTCATTATATCACGTTAAATAATCTAACATGTATTTATATGTTAGATTATTGGGAGAAATCTTATACTCAATGGGGAAATACAGAAACGTGGGATAGCTACTTTCAAGAAAATGTACAAGAAGCAACAAGACTAAGTTCACATAATG